GATGCCTGATACCTGATCCCTTCGACACCTCGTGATCACACAGGCTGGTGTGCTTCTTCCATGTGGGCTTTGTTGCTTCTGAGCTTGATGGCCGCTTGTTTACCTTCAAATTAACTACTTTTAACAACTCCCTCAGTACTGACAAATGACTATAGGGCAGTGGTTCTCAACCTTCATAATGCCGCAACCTTTAATACAGTTCCTCATGTGCTGGTGACCCCCAACCATAAAATTATTTTCGTTGGTACATCATAACTGTAATTTTGCTACTGTTAGGAAACGTAATGTAAATATCTGATATGCAGGATATATCTTCATTGTTACAAATTAAACATATTTAAAGCATAGTGATTAATCACAAAAACTATGTAGTTATATATTGTGAAATATTTATTTCTAATGACAAATCAATGAAATTTTGTCTTGAAGCATGGTGTAGCATGGGTAACAGTCTTCACTCTGGGTACGAGTGTATGTGGGTGTCTCTGCATGCGGCAGATCCTCCCGGGGACGGATAGAGGAGCCATGTCTGGGTTCCTAAGACCATCAGAAATATGTCTTTTCCAAAGGTCTTAGGCGACCCCTGTAAAGGGGTCATGACCCACAGGTTGAGAACTGCTGCTTTAAGGGATAGAATGTTGAAGAGTTAGGTAAAATAGGTCCATAAACCAAACTCACTGCCTATCACTTAACTTTGGGATTTCACAATATCATTTATTTTTGAAGGCTTTTGGCCTTAATCTGGGAAGGGACAGAGCTGGAGATTTACAAAGTGGGGATAAGGACTGCATTTTTATAATGATAACATCTCATGATTTTTATTATATTTCTGTAGTCTCTATTTTAGCATATTAATAGAGTCAGAATCAACTGCTCAGTGGTATAGAATACAGAGGAAAGTAAAAGGAACTAAAGGAAAGAACTAGGAGGCAAAGGGTATTTATAGAGGTCTAAATAAAGGCATGTACATATGTAAATATATTTATATATGATGATGGGGAAATAGATCTATGTGCATATATTTATAGGTTTAGTATTAACACAGCAGATGGACATTGAACCTCCACTCAAGTACTTCCTCAATGCAAGAACACTTTGTTCTATTAAACTGGCATTCCATGATGCTTACCTTCCATACACGATCACTGGAGACAAAGCGGGTGCATAAGTAAATGTGAAGAAAGCTGATGGTGCCCAGCTATCCAAAGATAAAGCGTTTGGGGTCTTAAAGGCTTGAAGATAAACAAGCGGCCATTTAGCTCAGAAGCAACAAGACCCAAATGGAAAAAAGCAAACCAGCCTGTGTGATCACACGGTGTTGATAGCATCAAGTATCAGGCATCAAAGAACAAAAAAATCATAGTGAATAAGGGGGCGTGCAGAGTGGAGACCCAAAGCCCATCTGTAGGTAACAGGATATCCCCTTTGTGTTAGTCTGGGTAGACTAGAGAAATAAATTCATCAACATGCATATGTGTATAAGAAAGAGATTTATATACAAGAGCAATTGAACATTGAGAAAGCATCCCAGCCCAGTCCAGATCAAGTTCATAAGTGTGATATTAGCCCCTCTATAAAGTCCTCTTCAAACTCTCGAAACACATGCAATGATGCCGGTAGAAGATCACAGGCTAGTAGGTAGAGAGTCTTTGGATCCAGTGGCATTGGAAACATATCAGTGCTGGCAGGGGTCTCTGCATTGCCTCTCCAGCATCCAGAGCTGCATCAGGGTGGGTCCATGTGGCTTGTCAGCTGCTATGTCTCCCAGGGTGTGTGCTGAGAGTCACCCACCTCCAAGGAGGAAATACCACAACTCCCAGAATTCTCAGGGGAAGGTCATGCCCACACAGAGGCCTTATTGGCTGTGATCTGACTAACAGGCTAGACTCCACCCCTACATTCTTAATCCTCAATTGACAAATGATTATGTAACTACCACACACTTACAGAAGGGTCTTGGGAAGGAGACAAGTCAGTCAGGCTACTGTATAGCACCAATGAAACATACAACTTTCCTCTAGTTCTTTAATGCTTTCTCCCCCCACTCATGATCCCAATTCTACCTTACAAATCCAGCTACACCAGAGGATGTGCACTGGTACAGATAAGAGCTGGAAACACAGAGAATCCAGGACAGATAAACCTATCAGGATCAATAATGAGAGTAGCAATACCAGGAGGGGAAGGGGAAGGTGGCAGAAAGGTGGAATCGATCACAAGGATCTACATATAACCCCCTCCCTGGGGGACGGGCAACAGAAAAGTAGGTGAAAGGAGACATCGGTCAATATAAGACATGAAAAAATAATAATAATTTGTAAATTATCAAGGATTCATGAGGGAGGGAGGGACAGGGAGAAACGAGCTGATATCAAGGGCTCAAGTAGAAAGAAAATGTTTTGAGCATGATGATGGCTACAAATGTACAAATGTGCTTGGCACAATGGATGTATGGATTGTGATAAGAGTTGTACGAGCCCTTAATAAAATGATTTAAAAAAAATACTAGCATGGACCTACATGGAATATACGTTGAGAAACAATAGTTTCACATTTTGATAAAGTTTTATTTAGTAAAGATTTCTATGATTTAGTTACCCAAAAAATGATTAAAAAGTAAAAATAGAGTGGAGAAAAATGTATTCAGATACAGTTTATATAAATTGAAATTATTCCTTGTTAACATATTTGCTTTATACTGTGTGGCTGCTCTAATATTAAACTGTTATTCCCAAATTATTGAGTAATCTTGATTAATACTTCAGCAAATGCATATACTATAATTTACTTAAACAGTGACCTCGGCCTGGAGATGTAGGTTGTAGTGGACTTGGTGCATATATAGCTAACATTGGAATGAGAATCTTAGAGCATGAATCTATATTTTGATTAAATTCTGAGGTAACTATTTAGTGTAGTTATGTATCTTAATGTATGTTATTTGGAAGTAGTGTCCCAGATAGTCATTATTTGACAATCACCGATCTGTGAAAACTGTTTTTCTCAAGGAAAGTAACCACAGGTGAATTGATTTTTTTCTTTTCTTTTAACTGTCTTTAGGAGAAAGTTGATTTTCAGCATGCTCATGGATTACAAGAATTGGAGTTTATTCAAGGACATTCTGATACTGAAGCAGCAAGACTCTGTGTGGACCAGTGGCTAAAAATGTCAGGTATTTTTCAGAGATTAGAGTAGAACACTAATTTTCTGAGCTCCCACAAAAGCTTAAGGTCAAAAGTACATTTGTTTTACTCAGTTGTTAATAGTAAGCATAGAAGGTATTCAAATTTCGTTGGGTTTTTTTTTTTTCAAATTTCGTTTTAATGGTACTTCATAATGGCCTGCTTTATCAATTGCTTTTTTTTTTTTTTTTGCCAAAAGGACGTTTTGAGTTTCATGTAGTTAATGCACAGTTGTATACAGTTGCTCTGCTACTTCTAGGAATATAATAGTATGCAAAGTTGACCCAGGGAGTAATATTCGTGTCCTCTGTGAGTACTAGCAGACATTAATTGCAAGAGTAGATGTAAAATGAAGCTATGATAAATATATGTAAATGAAATTGCCCAGGGCTTGGTGGAGGCTGCGTTAACAGGATGTTGAGGTCATGGAAGACTTCTCTACAGAGATGGAATTCAAATTATTGGAAGGATTATGTGTACTTACTTGTTCTTCTATGTAACCCTTGTGGTATATTTTGTAAGGACAAGTCCATGTGAGAGGCTTCTTCAGAACTTGAGATTTTCTGGAGGGAGTAACTGGAACAAGGAACCTTGGTGGCGCTGTTAGGTGCATTGGATTGCTTACAGTGAGGTCCGCAATTCAAACCCACCCAGCTGCTCCTTAGAAGCAAAATGAAACTCTTGTTTCCACAAGATTTGCAAAGCCTTGGAAACTCCATAAAGGGTCGCTATGAATCAGAGTAGACTTAGTGGCAGTAGGTTTAGTTGGCTGTGGAACACTTCTCCCTCACCATCTCATTTGGTGGAATTTTAAAGAGCTCACCATGGCAACTTTTTTATCTGTCTTGTAGAAAAGCCACTTCCATTGAACTCTTAAAGTCTGGGTATACACAAAACCTTTTTCTGTGAGTTTAGATTACTAATCTAATACAAGTTTTAATTACAAACTTTAATGAAACTATATCTTGCAGTTCTAGGCTAGCTTTCATGAGGGTCAGGGTGTTCTTTGAATAAAATCAATTTACCACTTATAAAAGAAGTATAATAATTTATATTATTAGCATTTAGCAGGCTTTGGCAGCTTCTCAAAATATATTCCCCTCTTAATTCCCAATCTGATTATATGTGGCAAACTCTTCCCCCTTTTAAATGTCTTTTTCTCTTTCTTCTTACTTTCCTATTGGACCAAAGATTGAAAATGTTATACACAGAAATATATATAGACCTAGTTGGAGAGTAGGTCAAGAAACAATAACTTCACTTTTTGAAAGTATTTTAGTTCTGAAAGTTTTCTATGATTTTTTTTTAGCAATTTTTTTTATCTCACCTAGTATTTTTTAGCTTTGTAAAAATACTATTCAGATAGAGTTTTATATGGATCAAATTACTCCTTGTTATTGTATTTGTTTTACAGTTTAGTTGCTCTGATACTAAAATATTGCCCTCAGATTACTGAGAAATCTTATACTTAGTCAAAGTGTGTACCAAAATTTACTTAGACATTCGCTTCTAGTCAGGAGATATAAGTTGCAATGAACTTTGTGCAATTATAGGTAACATTGGAATGAGCATCTTAGAATGTGAATCTATGCTTTGATTTAATTGTATGAGATGGTTATCTAAATGTAGATTCCCAGGGATAAAGAGTAGTCAGTAATTGCTGATGTTCAAATATATCTCTCAAGGAAACCAGGAAAATAATTAACAGGTTGCTTTTTTAAAAAAATCATTTTATTAGGGGCACATACAACTCTTATCACAATCCATACATACATTAATTGTGTAAAGCACATTTGTATATTCATTGTCCTCATCATTCTCAAAACATTTGCTCTCCACATAAGCCCCTGGCATTAGCTCCTCATTTTTCCCCCTCCCTCCCCCCTTTCCCCTCCCTCTTAAACACTTGATAATTTATAAATTATTATTTTGTAATATCTTACACTGTCCAGTGTCTCCCTTCACCCACTTTTCTGTTGTCCGTCCCCCAGGGAGGGAGTTATATGTAGATCCTTGTAGTCGGTTCCCCCTCTTGACCCCACCTTCCCTCCACCCTCCCGGCATCTGCACCCTCACCACTGGTCCTGAAGGGATCATCACCTGAACGGATTCCCTGTTTCCAATTCCTATCTGTACCAGTGTACATCCTCTGGTCTAGCCAGATTTGTAAGGTAGAATTGGGATCATGATAGTGGGGGTGGGTGGGCAGGAAGCATTCAGGAACTAGAAGAAAGTTGTATTTCATCGTTGCTACACTGCACCCTGACTGGCTGGTCTCCTCCCCGCAACCTTTCCGTAAGGGGATGTCCAATTGCCTACAGATAGGCTTTGGGTCTCCACTCCGCACTCCCTCTCATTCACAATGTTAGGATTTTTCGTTCTGATGATGCCTGATACCTGATCCCTTCGACACCTCGTGATCACACAGGCTGGTGTGCTTCTTCCATGTGGGCTTTGTTGCTTCTGAGCTAGATGGCTACTTGTTTACCTTCAAGTCTTTTAAGACGCCAGGCGCTCTATCTTTTGATAGCCGGGCACCATCAGCTTTCTTCACCACATTAGCTTATGTACGCATTTGTCTTCAGTGATCACATCGGGGAGGTGAGCACACAATGATAGGATTTTTTGTTCTTTGATGCCTAACAGGTTGCTTTTTATTGTTGTGTTTAGCTATCTTTAGAGAAAAATGATTTTCAGTATACACATAGATTACAAGAATTAGAATTTACTTAAGGACTAAGATTTATTCCACAGAGAACACTGAGGACTAGAAGTTGTGGAGTTAGGATGGCCACTGTGTATGATTTCTCGCTATGTGATAAGCCAGTTCAGTTATTCTGTGCAAGTTTGGCTGCTCAGCCTCTTTTGATTACTTTATTCATTTATCTTTATACATTTCTTTAATTCTGTGTATATTTAATTTGATCTCTAGGTTTACATGTCTGTCTTTTATGCTCTTTAGGACCTGGACCAAGTCTTATTAATCCTTTTTAGTATCAATGCCTAAAAAGAATGCTCAGCAGAGAGATGTTTTAGTCAATGTTAGTTGAATGTTATATTGAGGCATTCTATAAATATGTGTCTCTTGAACATAGAAAGGAAGTTTAGAACTTGAAATACAAATCCAACTCATTCAGATGAACGAAAGGTCTGACATGCCAGATCTGCTTCAATAAAATATGCTTAGGAATTAAGGGAAATGGTTTTGTTATTTGTGATGATCTGTTAAAAGTTTATAATTAAAAACAAACTTCTTGAGGAATGAGGAGACGTGAAGAAGTTTTGTGAGGAAATTCATTTCCCAATGAACTTTTTGAAATCCCTTTGTACATTTAGTTCTCAGCTGAAGGCGTTAATTTCTAGCTCAGAGGTTTCTTCTTAACTGCATCAAAATCACCTGGGAGTTTTCCACAGACAACTCAGTCAAAAAATGGACAGAAAACTGAAACACATTTTGCCAAAGGCTATATTCAAATGACGGACAAGCACATGAAAAGATGCTCAAAATCACTCACTGCCATTAGGGAGATGAAAATCAAAACTACAGTAGAATATCACCTTAATCCATTAGAATGACAATTCTTACCTCTCCATGAAATTAAAAAACAAAGGAGAAAGATAACTGTGAAGGTGTGGAGAACCTGGGTCACTCACCCAGTGCTGGGGAAATGTAAAATGGTACGCTCACTGAGTAGAAGAGTTGGTGGCTCCTCACAAAAGTGAATACAGCATTGCTGTATGATCCAGCAATCCTAGTCCTAAACACACACTAAGTAAAAACAGGGATTCGAAAAGGAACTCATGTACCAGGGTCCACTGTAGCCAAAAGATGGAAACAACCTAAATGTCCATCAACAGATGAATGGATAAAGAAAATATGGCATACGCCTGCAATAAAATATTACTCAGCCATAAAGAAAAATGATATCTTGATTTGTTTCACAACATGTGAACCCTCAAAGCCTGTTGAACAGAAACAAGCCTGGCCAAATTGGACAAACACTGTATGGTCTCGTTTATGTGCCTATGAAATAAGCAAATCTACAAGGGGGTTTCAAAAAGTTCATGGAAAAATTATCTTTTCATTCAATTTTTCCATAAACTTGATTATTGGGGGTAAAAGGGAAAGGGAGAATTTGGCATAAGGGATAGATATTGTTTGTATGTAATTAGTAAGGTAATTTGTAAAAAGATAACATGAAGAATAATCAGTGTTACTGAATTGGACACATGGAAATTCCTGAATTGGTGAAGGTTTTAAAACGTGTGTAATTTCACAATATATAGGCTTTCAATCACCTGGGAGTTTTTTAAACAGATCTCTGGAACTCCCCTTCATCTTCAGTTTTTAGATCATTAGATGATTTTATTAGGCAAATTGGCTAGACCTATGGCTTTATGGTTAATCAGATCGCTTCTAAAATTCCTGTATTTCATGAGTTTCTCATTTTGAAGCCTGACATTTAATGGTTCTTGCACCTGTAATTTGCTCTTATCGCCAATTCCCGATCTGTAGATTGCCAGAATATTTTTAATTCACATTCAGGAGCATCTTAGAACAATAATGGAAAGTAGTATGACACTTCCTCAAACAATTGAGAATAGAAATACCAGAAGACCCATCAACTACTTTACTTAGTATATATACAGATATAAAAAACACAGCATAAGCAGATATATATGTGTGTGCTAATCACAGCATTATTTACAATAGTAAGAAGATAGAAACAAGCTAAATGCCCATTAGTGGAAGAATAGCTAACCAAGCTTTGGTGCATACACGCAGTGGAATACCATGTATCACTAAAGAATAACGCTGATCACAAAAATGAAAAAAAAAATGCTCTAAAACTGATAGTGGTAATGTTTGTACGTCTCTTTTTGATGTGATTAAACTATTGAATTGTTTAATAATAATAATAATAATACAAATATCTTGTTTATATAATTTCTAGAACATTATGCTGAGTGATGTTAGTTGGTGAAAAAA